AGAATCGAACCTGTTCTCAGGCCAGTGTCCTGTACACACAGCTACAATATCTTCACAATTATTCAATGCCTGTTGTCCTCTTTTCTATCCGCTCCACTCAATCCCTCTCCCTAATCTGATCCTTTACCAACCAGTTGGTCTATCACTAACCTAATCCTGTTATTTAATTAAATGTTCAATCTCCACTCCTCACGTATTGTTGTTGTTGTTGTTAATAATTCGCTACCTGGAACAGAGTTCCAAGTAGCACGGGCTATGGTGAGCCCGTAGTGCCTTATATACCTAACGTATATGGACTTCTCACGTATTATGTTGTAAATAAATGGTACTTGACTGCGCACGTGGGAGTGGACAAGTGCACATGTAAAACGGGTTATAGACCCTAAGTTGGCGGACAGAAGATGGGACGTGAGGGGTTAGGTAAATAGGAAGAATGGGGAGGAAGAGATAGTGAGAATAGATGAAGGGAAGGTTAATGGGTAAGAGCGTGGGAAGGGTTATGGTGAAGGTTGTTTGTGAGGCTGTGGGTGGATTAGGTTTGGGGGCGGAGAGGGGGGGGGCGGATAGGAACGTGTTTAATAACCTTGGCTTGGAACGAATACTTAGAGGGGGGGGGAGGGGATTCAGGATCTTTTGTAGGTGGAGGGGGATTGTGGAATGTCTTTTTGATGGTAGGGAGTATTGGGAGAGAATAGGGAGAGTAAAAAGATTGGATCGGATTGGTGTTAGAATTACAATCTATCAATCTCTGAAGGGTTATAAAGGTCTATCAACCTCTGGAGGGTTATTAAGGCCTATCAACCTCTAGAGGGTTATTAAGGCCTATCAACCTCTGGAGGGTTATTAAGGTCTATCAACCTCTGGAGGGTTATTAAGGTCTATTAACCTCTGGAGGGTTATTAAGGCCTGTCAACCTCTGGAGGGTTATTAAAGCTTATTAACCTCTGAAGGGTTATTAAGGTCTATCAACCTCTGGAGGGTTAAGGCCTATCAACCTCTGGAGGGTTATTAAGGTCTATCAACCTCTGGAGGGTTATTAAGGCCTATCAACCTCTGGAGGGTTATTAAGGCCTATCAACCTCTGGAGGGTTATTAAGGCCTATCAACCTCTGGAGGGTTATTAAGGCCTATTAACCTCTGGAGGGTTATTAAGGCTTATCAACCCCTGGAGGGTTATTAAGACCTATCAACCTCTGGAGGGTTATTAAGGCCTATCAACCTCTGGAGGGTTATTAAGACCTATCAACCTCTGGAGGGTTATTAAGGCCTATCAACCTCTGGAGGGTTATTAAGGCCTATTAACCTCTGGAGGGTTATTAAGGCCTGTCAACCTCTGGAGGGTTATTAAGGTCTATCAACCTCTGGAGGGTTATTAAGGCCTATCAACCTCTGGAGGGTTATTAAGGCGTATTAACCTCTGGAGGGTTATTAAGGCCTGTCAACCTCTGGAGGGTTATTAAGGCCTATTAACCTATGGAGGGTTATTAAGGCCTATCAACCTCTGGAGGGTTATTAAGGCCTATCAACCCCTGGAGGGTTATTAAGACCTATCAACCTCTGGAGGGTTATTAAGGCCTATCAACCTCTGGAGGGTTATTAAGACCTATCAACCTCTGGAGGGTTATTAAGGCCTATTAACCTCTGGAGGGTTATTAAGACCTATTAACCTCTGGAGGGTTATTAAGACCTATCAACCTCTGGAGGGTTATTAAGGCCTATCAACCTCTGGAGGGTTATTAAGACCTATCAACCTCTGGAGGGTTATTAAAGCCTATCAACCTCTGGAGGGTTATTAAGGCCTATCAACCTCTGGAGGGTTATTAAGACCTATCAACCTCTGGAGTGTTATTAAAGCCACCCCAATGCCGTACTGATCAACCATGAAAGGTTTAGTGTAACCCTAACAATAGTTCAGGGCTAAACTCAGTGAATTTACCCCGAGATATGGGGATATACCTCTCAGTGTACTCTGTCAGAGTATTGGGGGGGGGGGGGGCCCGGGGAAATGGAGTGTAAGGAAAGTTATAGTGGCAGTAGAAGGGGAGATATACAGCCTGTCCTCTCATACTCAAGCTCCTTGACATTATATTCCAGCTCCTTGTCCTCATATCCCAGCTCCTTGTCCTCATACCCCAGCTCCTTGTCCTCATACCCCAGCTCCTTGTCCTCATATCCCAGCTCCTTGTCCTCATACCCCAGCTCCTTGTCCTCATATCCCAGCTCCTTGTCCTCATACCCCAGCTCCTTGTCCTCATATCCCAGCTCCTTGTCCTCATATCACAGTTCCTTGTCCTCATATCCCAGCTCCTTGTCCTCATACCCCAGCTCCTTGTCCTCATATCCCAGCTCCTTATCCTCATATCCCAGCTCCTTGTCCTCATACCCCAGCTCCTTGTCCTCATACCCCAGCTCCTTGTCCTCATATCCCAGCCTCCTTGTCCTCATATCCCAGCTCCTTGTCCTCATATCCCAGCCTCCTTGTCCTCATATCCCAGCTCCTTGTCCTCATACCCCAGCTCCTTGTCCTCATATCTCAGCTCCTTGTCCTCATACCCCAGCTCCTTGTCCTCATATCCCAGCTCCTTGTCCTCATATCCCTTCCAAGAGCTGTAGAGTCACACTGGTTTTAAAACTGTCTGATAATGACCTCACCTCAAGCCAACATAGCGGCGGGTCGTGTTCACAGCCACTCCTGCATACACCGTTAGTGCAACGAACTTCTGCCGGAGGTTGCATGTCAAGCTTGCAGTTGTTGTTTTTGTTGCAAGGACTTGACCGCAGTGCAGTCACCGAGAGGATAAACCTTTCATGCAAACGGCACCTACTGTCGAGAAGACTTGACCGAGTCTCTGAACGGGGTGTTGCCCGTCCATCTTTCCTCTCGTTTTCTTTGGATATTTCATTCGTTTTCCTTGATATAATATATATATATATATATATATATATATATATATATATATATATATATATATATATATATATATATATATATATATATATATATATATATAAGCCTATACTTGCATAAACCACAAGTGAAGATTAACAATCTTTGGACAACACCCACCAGTGGGACTCGAACCCAGAAAGCACAACTACCTTCCAGTAGCTGCCATAACTAGTACGCTTTAACCCACTACACCATCAGACCCTACAAAAGAAGTAGAGACTTCGAGATATATATACATCTCAAATATCTCCACTTCCCGAGGGCACCACCACACACACACACACACACACACACACACACACACACACACACACACACACACACACACACACGCGCGTGAAAGAGACCTGGGGGTGGACGTAACACCTAATCTATCTCCTGAGGCACATATTAATAGGATAACGACAGCAGCGTACTCTACACTGGCAAAAGTTAGAACATCATTCAGAAACCTAAGTAAGGAGGCATTTAGGGCGCTTTACACTGCCTACGTAAGGCCAGTCTTAGAGTATGCCGCCTCATCATGGAGTCCCCATCTGAAGAAGCATATAATGAAACTGGAAAAGGTTCAGAGGTTTGCAACGAGACTCGTCCCAGAGCTACGAGGGATGGGGTATGAGGAGCGCCTGAGGGAACTGTGCCTTACGACACTAGAAAGAAGAAGGGAGAGGGGGGACATGATAGGAACGTATAAGATACTCAGAGGGATTGACAGAGTGGACATAGACGAAATGTTCACACGGAATAGTAACAGAACGAGAGGACATGGATGGAAGCTTGAAACTCAGATGAGTCACAGAGATGTTAGGAAGTTTTCTTTTAGCGTGAGAGTAGTGGAAAAATGGTATGCACTTGGGGAACAGGTTGTGGAAGCAAATACTATTCATACTTTTAAAACCAGGTATGATAGGGAAATGGGACAGGAGTCATTGCTGTAAACAACCGATGCTCGAAAGGCGGGATCCAAGAGTCAATGCTCGATCCTGCAGACACAACTAGGTGAGTACACGCGCACACACACGGATGACAAGTTTGTGTATTCATATAGAGTACACCTGAAGAGGTGTACTCAGCGTCAGGCTACAACTTCCGGCTTCCCATCCTTGAGGTCATTGGTCTGTGGCCGTGAAGAATATACGGCTATTGCCAGACGTGCGGAGCAGAACGTGGGGTACGGAACGTGTTGTGTAGTACGTGGGGTACGGAACGTGTTGTGTAGTACGTGGGGTACGGAACGTGTTGTGTAGTACGTGGGGTACGGAACGTGTTGTGTAGTATGTGGGGTACGGAACGTGTTGTGTAGCACGTGGGGTACGGAACGTGTTGTGTAGTACGTGGGGTACGGAACGTGTTGTGTAGTACGTGGGGTACGGAACGTGTAGTGTAGTACGTGGGGTACGGAACGTGTTGTGTAGCACGTGGGGTACGGAACGTGTTGTGTAGTACGTGGGGTACGGAACGTGTAGTGTAGTACGTGGGGTACGGAACGTGTAGTGTAGTACGTGGGGTACGGAACGTGTAGTGTAGTACGTGGGGTACGGAACGTGTTGTGTAGTACGTGGGGTACGGAACGTGTAGTGTAGTACGTGGGGTACGGAACGTGTAGTGTAGTACGTGGGGTACGGAACGTCTTGTGTAGCACGTGGGGTACGGAACGTGTTGTGCAGAACGTGGGGTATGAAACGTATGATGTAGAACACGGGGTGTGGAACACGGGGTGTGGAACACGGGGTGTGGAGCGTGTGGGCAATAAATACATAGGAGGATACAGGCGGCATGTGTTGTAAAGCCCAAGTTAACGATGGACCGAATATGCGGCCTTGAAGCAACAGGCTTGGCTCGCGGGGAGCAACCTTACTACCTGTGGTGTGGTGGGGGTGTGTTAGTGGTGGTGTGGTGTTAGTGGTAGTGGTGGTGTGGTGTTAGGGGTGTGGGGGTGTGGTGTTAGAGGTGGTGGGGGGTGTGTTGGTGGGGGTGTGTTAGTGGGGGGTGTGGTGTTAGTGGTAGTGGGGGTGTGGTGTTAGAGGTGGTGGGGGGTGTGTTGGTGGGGGTGTGTTAGTGGGGGTTATATATATACTGCCCGAAACGCTGCGCGTGCTAGTGGCTTTACAAGACTGTAATTACCATATTTGTATCCTCACATTCCTTATGTACATTCTTGTATATGCATAAATAAATAAATAAATAAATACTAAAATCATTAGGTTGTTCTACAACAGCTTTTTCCCCAGAACACAACACGTAAGTCAATTTACATCCAGGTCCTCAGTGGGTTTACTTACAGGTACAACTGGAGAGTGGTAGTAGTTGTTGTCGAAGATTCAGCTACTTGGAACAAAAGTTCGAAGTCACTTGGACTATGGTTAGCCCGTAATGGACTTACTAGAGTAAAAACGGTGTTTAATATATAAAAATATGAAAAACAATATCAGTTGTTGTAAAAATAAATATATAAATCAATAACATAATGCTTAAAATAAAGTTTTATATGATATTTAAACAAATTATTATTTCTTTTACACTTAGCTGGTGTATAAAAAGGAAGGCAGCAGTCGAAAGGTTAAACAATGCAGGTGCTGCTGCTTATAATGCTGGGGACTGTATGTTCCCAGCTAGCAGGTGGGCTTAATTTATATTATCTACCTCCTCAACAAGCCAGAATACCAGGTTAGTCATTACATATTTCAAAGATTGTAATTAGTGTTCTATGTTACTTTTCTATCGCTGCTCTGTATTCTATTAATCGATTTGCTGTAGATGCATTGCTACCAAATAGTGCTGTTAGTATTATTTTTAGAGAAATAGTTTTTAAATTGCTATTAATTAACACCTCTGGGATATGCCTCTTATGATACTTCTTAGTTTTAATATACACTGAGGCGGTATACCTCACTTTTGTTTATAAACACTAATCATATATATATATATATATATATATATATATATATATATATATATATATATATATATATATATATATATATATATATATATATATATACACACAAGCTAACTACGCTTTTTTCACAATAATAATTTTTCACTATAAATAGCTTTTAATATTCTCATCTAAAGCTTTCTTACTAATATCCACTTATCACATAAAAACAAAGTTACAGGTACGGCTGTATTTTGCCATGTTTCCATGGCACCATAGAAATTGTTGATGATTATACAATATGTAATTAATGGTATTATAAAATAGACAAGCACTTTAGTGAGTAACCACTGTAATCTATTGAGTCCCATGTATAGAAAATCTATCGAGTCCGATGTATAGAAAATGTAGATATTTGTGAATCGTTACTTTTCCCAGTAGTGTGTATCTATAACGTTTGTTACTATAACGTACAAAACTCGACCTATTAGTGGAGAGGACGGATTGGATAATTACGTTGGCATAGTGGTTGTAATTGCGGAAGATGCGGTTCTGAGAAAGACAATTGCTATAATAGAGATTCCGATATTGGAAACTGCGATAATGCATGTGTATAAGACTTGAGTTAGCGACAATAAAGATTCCATTAATAGTTGTTGCAATAATGACAAATCACGATAAAAGCAATTACAATAACGAAAATTTCGATCATATATGCAAGACGATTGCAATTATATTACATATTACTTCTTAATTTACATAAAGAAAACAATCTAAACTAGATTTTTTTAAAGTCAGACATCAGACTATCTTTGATTTTTAGACTGAGGACCTGGATGCAAGTCCAAAAATCTGGACTCTTGTTAACCCAGGAGCTTCAGGATCTGTCGATGTTCTCAGGGTAGCCAAGCCGAACACAAGCGAGGTACCACATTATAACTCACCATTGTAATTAACAAGAGATTCCTTGGTTGACCTTGGTGTGTATGACGTGATGTCTTAAACAAGCCATTTCTAAATATTTATATAAAAAAATTGTGATTAAGAACTTAGCGTACCAGGAAAACAAAAGAATTCGTTTTGTGAACATTTTATACAAAAGACCAAACGCAATGTTAAAATTAATCGTGAGTCATACGGATATTGATGAAATTTACGAGTAATGTAACAAAATACACCAAACAATATAGTTTTAGGCTGTAACTTAAGTCTAAAAATTGTGTTACTATTTTTGTTAAGATTAAGAACATAAGATTAGGAGAAAGTGCAGAAGGCCTACATTGTCCCATACGAAGCAGCAGCTAACAATTACAGCTGGATCACATATGTGGCCTAACAATAACAGCTGGACCACATATGTGGATTATCAATAACAGCTGGACCACATATGTGGCCTAACAATAACAGCTGGACCACATATATGGCCTAACAATAACAGCTGGACCACATATGTGGATTATCAATAACAGCTGGACCACATATGTGGCCTAACAATAACAGCTGGACCACATATGTTCCCTAACAATAACAGCTGGACCACATATGTGGCCTAACAATAACAGCTGGACCACATATGTGGCCTAACAATAACAGCTGGACCACATATGTGGCCTAACAATAACAGCTGGACCACATATGTGGATTATCAATAACAGCTGGACCACATATGTGGCCTAACAATAACAGCTGGATCACATATGTGGCCTAACAATAACAGCTGGACCACATATGTGGCCTAACAATAACAGCTGGACCACATATGTGGCCTAACAATAACAGCTGGACCACATATGTGGATTATCAATAACAGCTGGACCACATATGTGGACTATCACTAACAGCTCTCTCTGCTGCCACAATCATCAACAAAAGACTAATCACATCCAATCTTCCTCATCACTAAGATTGGTAAGCCTTGAAAACCTTCCAGAGGTTGATAAGGCTTTAATAATTTAACGCTCCAGAAATTGTAAAGGAGTCGTTCATATTTATTTCCTTCTTAACTCAATTATCTACTGTGTGTTCCATTTCACCAAGGCATCACACTTGTGTACCTCCACCTTGACATTACGCTCTGGCATCTCACTTCACCCAAGACCTTTATAAACTATATTATACAGCAATATTGCATCCTGCTTGTTCAAGTAGAGTGAACCCCGTTTTCTAACTGGGTTTGGGTAGGGGTGAAGGTTTAGTGTTGGCCTTCAAGCCTGTAAACTTCTGGAGGGTTAATGAAGCTTAACCTCTGGAGGGTTATTAAGGTGCAGGGTTGTTTAGGTTATTAAAAATGACGTGATGTCCCATTTTGTATTAGTTGGTCCTCAGTTAGGTTCGGGCAATTTAGTACATCGGTTTAATGATGTAGATGATAGGCTGCAAAGGAACCCACTACAATTGTTTGTCTCTCTGGTATCTATTTTACTGCTAACTGAACAGTAGCATTAAGTGAAAAGAAATATGGTCAACTGTTTCTTCTCTGGCCTGGCGATTACTAGTCGACGACGAAGACCACAGGGCTAGAGAACCCGTGGGAGAACAGACTAGGCAGTGTCGAGAATGCCAATATAATCGATGGTGTATTTGATTTTAGCAACTCTAATATCCATGGAGCATAAACATAAATCACAGACCAAATTAATTAGTAGTACCGTGACAGTTTTGCTACGAACTGCTTAAAGGGCGCTATCCCATTGAACTCGACCTATGCACAATGTTATTTTTACATTATAGCAATGTAAAAATGAGTTCCTATAAACGTTTTTCGTTTATAAATTATAAATAGATTTCGCAACAATCTATTGGTTAACAATGTAAAAAAGTTACAACGTATCGGTTATCAACATGAGAATGTTGCTACAACGTTTTTGTTAGGAATGCAAAAACGTTTCTACATCACATTATTAGCAACGTAAAACGTTGCAACAACGTATTAGTTATCAACTTAAAAGTTGCTACATTGCTTTGATTAGCACTAAAAGCATTGTTACAACCAGAGACAGATATATAAATAGATAACCAAGTGCTGGATTCTGGGCGGCCGCAGGAATTCTATTGTCTGGTCATCGTTTCTAAAACGTTTACAAGTGCCTTCAAAGAAGAGCGCTGGGTCTGAATGCTACAATCAAATTTTTTCACTCGTTGCAAAGAATTTGTTGCATCCCAGAGAAATGTTTGACGAATTTGAATAGAACTGTCAAGAGTGGTCCATCAACCTACACGGAAGAGGTGACCGAAGAGTGGTTCATCAACCTACACGGAAGAGGTGACCGAAGAGTGGTCCATCAACCTACACGGAAGAGGTGACCGAAGAGTGGTCCATCAACCTACACGGAAGAGGTGACCGAAGAGTGGTCCATCAACCTACACGGAAGAGGTGACCGGAAAACATGTGAAGAAATGAGACTTCATGATGGACCAGCACAGGAAACTGAACTGTCATGCTCAGCAACTGAACTTTTTTGTATCAATATTTTTCTACCGGTCATTGATTAGCTGTGCAGCATCCTAAGCAACCGGTTGAATGCTTAGTAGGAAATGAGCAGGAAGTATGAATTCTTTATAAATTCTTTTGAAACTGAATGAGTATTTACAAGAGGCTTCACATCACCTGATTTCATGCTGTCCTAAGGAACCAGGAACCAGGCCTTAGGGGAGGAGTTCATTCAGTTCAAAGCACATGTGCAACAATATAACTGCACTTAATACTGAGAACGTATAATAATTCATATTATTACGAATTATACTACTGCGCACATAGTTTTAAACTGCACATGTTTCAGCAAATTGTGACAAGCTCGCTCTCTTCAGTCTTTTCAGATACTTCAGTCTCAGCAAATACTTACCACTGCCTAATGGGTATCCATATGATACGAGAGACAGATAATTTTTCCTCTAAAACTCATCAAGTACTTCCTGAAGTCAAGAATGGAAGACAAGTTCATGTACTTTTCCTTAAAGTCCATAGAGCTGGAAGATGTATGCAAACCTGACTGTCGGGAAATTATTCATGACTTTGCAAACCGAGAACATCGCAAATTTCAAATTTAAATTTTGTTTCTCCTGATTATTTCTACTTTTCTTTGTTAAAGAATGTATTGATGCTTTTTAGAGCATATATTTTTACTCCTAATTTTGACAAGACCCCCCCCCCCACACCCTCTTCAAAGTCTCCTATAGAGGCCTATGCAGCCTCTATAGGACTATCCACCATTGCGTAAAAAGTTTGTGGTTACAGCATACCATTACTACAAACTTGAAGCTACCATGTAGCCCCCAACCGTTAATACAACCTTGAGACTACCACGTAGCCCCCAACCGATAATACAACCTTGAGACTACTACGTAGCCCCCCACCGTTAATACAACCTTGAGACTACCATGTAGCCCCCACCGTTAATACAACCTTGAGACTACCACGTAGCTCCCCACCGTTAATACAACCTTGAGACTACCACGTAGCCCCCCACCGTTAATACAACTTTGAGACTACCATATAGCCCCCACCGTTAATACAACCTTGGGACTACCACATATCTACACCGTTGTATGTGTGCTCGGCAACTTCAACACAAACATTCAACGTTTCAGATTAGCCACTCCAGAAAGGGGGTAGGAAACTTGATCATATCCCTCCCCTTCTGCCTGGATATCTGATTGAAACTTTCGCCGGATAGGAACGTAACGGCAAGGCCAACAGGATCACGTCCAGACTGGCAGGTGACAAAGGCCAAAACACAAAAAATGATATCTCCCCCGCAAATTTATGGAGCTTTATGTATATTTCGTCAATAAATGTGTCAGCAAATGTGTTTTACGTCGAAACTCGTTGCCACGAACGACTCAAATGTGAGTAGAGTAAACCAGGACATAAAGCCGGGTCAGAAGGCTTGTAAACGTAGCCTAACGTCAGGCCAGGAAGCTTGGACATAACGTCAGGCCAGGAAGCTTGGACATAACGTCAGGCCAGGAAGTTTGGACATAACGTCAGGCCAGGAAGTTTGAACATAACGTCAGGCCAGGAAGTTTGGACATAACGTCAGGCCAGGAAGTTTGGACATAGCGTCAGGCCAGGAAGTTTGGACATAACGTCAGGCCAGGAAGTTTGGACATAAAAACCGAACCATAAAGCTAAGAAATAGAACAACGAAAAACTTGGATACAAAACATGGGTTCAAAGTCCGGCTCAGTGAATCAAATGCTCCTCGGCTATCGACAAACATGAAAGCATCTTTTTCCGTCTTGAAGTACTTCCTCCAAACAAGTCGGAATGACTGGTTGTTGAAGATTCAGCTACGCGGAACAAAAGTTCCAAGTAGCACGAGCTATGGTGACCCCATCGTGGGCTTCATAGACGAAGCGAAGCGAAAATGTCCAAAGAGTTGTCAAGCAGGAGTTTGAAGAATAGGGCGAGGATGCAGAAATCTTGAGCGAGGAACTGGAGATAAGGTGAAGAGGTGAGATGATCGGCGGCCCAACCACCGAGGATTTGAACTTGAGGCGAGTGAAGTAGGATTGAGTGGGGCGTCATTTGCAGTATACACAGGGGCCGGGCACCCAAGCAGCTGGCAGTTGATGGTTGATTTCAGATGATAATGTTAAATCTTGTCGTTAGTGTTCTTTTTTGTTGACGACTTCAGCAAACTCTGATTATTAGGTCATTATATCACTATCACTTTGATTTACGATTATGTATATTTGACAAGTTCTATAGTACTGCGGACCTACTCATATTAGTGGTGAGAACACTGTGGTACTACTTGTACTCTACAAGGTGTGAATTCCTGGAATATATGCAAACCTCATCAAAGATTAACCCACAGATTTAGTCAATGTCTAAACCCCAGAACTGGTCGTCAGAAGTAATTAACAAGCTAGAGAAGCAACCCGGGAAGACTACATAATATCGTCTGGTTGCCAAAAACCACACAATAATGGGTTGTCAAAACGTAACCCGCAACATGACCAGCAATTTGGTTTACAACCAGGTCCCCAGTTACTGCTGGGTGAACAGGGGGGGGGGGGAGACCAATTAATGATAGGCGCCCAATCGATTTGTTATTTGATGATTTACACTGAGAGTTGGTCTTAAGTACGGGTGTGTGTGTGTGTGTGTACTCACCTAATTGTGCTTGCTGGGGTTGAGCTTTGGCTCTTTGGTCCCGCCTCATGAACCACACATGTGTGTGTGTGTGTATTTTATGTCCTTGTTTACAGTTCAGTTCTCGGTGTTTTCACTTGAAGTGTCTCCATGCCACCTGGGGCCGGATTCGACAACCAGTCACACTAGTACTTACATACCTGCGCATATTTTCTCAATCTTTGGCGGCTTTGTTTACATATATCAAACAATATATAAGCTCCAAAGCCCTAGGAGACTGTTTATAGTAATAACAACATTTAATTGGGAAGTTTCGATGCTGGTAAACTGTTTAATAAATATAAACATAGCAGTTAAAGGTTGAGAAAAGATGTTGAGTAGATGGATAAAAAGCCTCATGACTCCTGCCCCAGAACTTTCAGTGGTACGAGGTAGGTTTCCTGTTTTTTGTGAGGCACTTGTGATTCCAGGTTTTCCTTCAGTTTATTTTTTAGATTTAGCAAATCTTTTTCTTTGAAACTGTCTTTCTAGTGTCCTCTTTCCCTCACAGACATTGTAAAAAGTATATGTAAGGCTTCTAGAGATATTGGTCAGATTTCTGGTAAATGATCATTGTTTGGAGTGGGTACTCCGGCTATTGACATGGAATGTCAACAAGCACAGACTAAACCATTTTCCTTGTCCCAAAATTCTTTCTTCTGCGGTAGAACCAGCTTCAACGACACCGCCAGTAGCCTCTACAGGAGCTCCCATAGAGACAACTTCCTCAACGCCTAAAGTAGAAGCCCCGCCACCTGAAGAAGTATCCCAGCCGGCCGAAGGAGCCCCGCCACCTGAAGAAGTATCCCAGCCGGCCGAAGGAGCCCCGCCACCTGAAGAAGTATCCCAGCCGGCCGAAGGAGCCCCGCCACCTGAAGAAGTATCCCAGCCGGCCGAAGGAGCCCAGCCATCTGAAGAAGTATCCCAGCCGGCCGAAGGAGCCCAGCCATCTGAAGAAGTATCCCAGCCGGCCGAAGGGGCCCTGTCGCCTGAGCCGTGCTCAGAGCTATGTCCTTTCAACTATGACCCCGTCTGCGGCAGCGACGAGGTCACATACACCAACCCCTGCTCCTTTAACAACGCTGTCTGCCGGAACCCGGACATCGTCAAGAGTTACCACGGCCCTTGTGGTGGGTGCTAGGGAGTCTGATCACCATGTTTCTCTTCGAGGCTTATAATCAGTGTGAATACTGTTTGTTCCCATCTCTCTCACCTTCCACTTGACTTTATTAAACTTCTGCCACTGTTTTTGTCTACATTCCTCTCTTCTCATATTATATATATATATATATATATATATATATATATATATATATATATATATATATATATATATATATATATATATATATATATATATATATATAGGGGTACCACCTCTGGTTGCGTTTGTAGGGACCCTTCCATACACTGTGTTTAATATTACGTTTTCTACAATTAAGTTGAATATAATCTGGTATAAAAGTTAGTTAGATTGCAGATTTAAGATTTATTTTACAAACTAAGCATGCTAGCTAGATAGTGTGTACATGCATGCTTAGGAATTTGCATGTTGGTGCTTTCTATGTACTTTAGGAATTGTTTTAGATTCAGTCTCTCGAAACAAAAGTTCCAAGTAGCACGGGCTATAGTGAACCCGTAATGAACTTGGAAATAATAGTCTTAGAATTGAATATGCAACACTTGATTTTACTCAATATATGAAATAATTTCTCGTAACTTGTATTAAATTATAATATTGTGAAATATATTTTAAACAGAAATACTCAATCTATATTTTCTTTTTGCTACATATTATTAACATAAATTAATGTATATTGTTGAATAAAAATATGTTCGTGTACAAACAGTGCCGTTTCTATTTGATGCCGTCGTCCGAATCGGTACAACGTCGCCGAGGCCTGACGGAGGCGCTGTAGCAGGCGGCGACAACGACGTCTCCCCTGCGTGTCGCGCCGCCTGCACCCGGATCTACCTGCCTCTGTGTGCCAGCAACGGAAAGACTTACAACAACAGATGCACTTATGAGCTGGATTCCTGTCTGTCTCAGCAAGCAGGGGGACCCCCCATCACCGTGGTAGCTGAAGGACCTTGTGGTAAGACAACATTCACCATTTTTGTTTTATGTTCAAATAACTCAAACAATTGATAACAATAGTTCAATGTTATCATAGTTCCCCAAAGAATCTGAATTTGTTTAGAAGAAAATGGGTCTCTAGAGCTTCATCAGCCGTTTTCTGTATTCTAGTCGGCCGTGAATAGAGAGAAAAGGCACAAGGAGAACCACTTTTTGTGTAGTCTGTGCTCATGTGTACGTCTCTCTCGACGCGTTGCCTTGACGTACTCGCCTAGACGTGCTTCAGCGTCACTGGATAGTCAATGCAATGACTCTCTTTCCTAAGATCCCTCGTCATATTTCCTTTGTAAACTTAATATATTTTACAGTCTTTACTTTACAGTGTTCGTGGTGTAGTGGTAAGACACTCGCCTGGCGTTCCGCGAGCGCTATGTCATGGGTTCGTATCCTGGCCGGGGAGGATTTACTGGGCGCAATTCCTTAACTGTAGCCTCTGTTTAACGCAACAGTAAAATGTGTACTTGGATGAAAAAACGATTCTTCGCGGCAGGGGATCGTATTCCAGGGACCTGCCCGAAACGCTACGCGTACTAGTGGCTCTACAAGAATGTAACAACTCTTGTATATATCTAAAAAAAAAAAAAAAAAAAAAAAAAAAATTATATATATATATATATATATATATATATATATATATATATATATATATATATATATATATATATATATATATATATATATATATATATATATATATATATATATATATATATGTCGACGCAAATTCCTTAATATATCTAAGTTACACCACAAGTCCATCCAAATGGCAAAAATACAGACTCATGTCTTCCTGACAGTTTTTTTTCCATCTATGGCCATTGTTTCCACTTCATTCTTGTTCATTGTTTCCAGGCGGGTTAATAAAACCATGGAACCTCTTACACGCCGAAGCCATAAATATTAACCAACATAAAGTTCAACATTCAATAAAAAAACAAGAATGTCCTTAATAACAGAGAGACGTTTACAAGCTGCCGTGCTTCCTGTCCCCCCATCGAGGCCACTGGAAATGGTGGTTCTCGGGTAAATTCAGGTTAATATTTCCCACGCTGCTTCTTTCCTCCAGATTACGGAGCTTGGGTTCTCCCAACATATCATGACCGTTCAAACCACCCTTCGGACCACAGTTGGATTTAATGTCTCTATCTTTTCTAGTTTCGCGTTGGATTCCACGTTGCTCCGACTTGGAATCCAAATCGAGAGTTATTTTGACATCCCCTGATCATACACAACCCTTGCCATCTCTGCCTCTACTTGTTAATAACTTTCCGAAGTTATTAACAAAATGACTGGAAATATGAATGTGTTCAGTACCATAAGAATTTGGGTATTATTGTTATTATGTTTAAAACAGATGATACCGTCATTAGTCCTGGAGCCTTGGATCCTGTTCATGCTGAAGTCGGGGAATCAGTTCCTCCTGGAGTACAGGATCCCATTGGTTCTGGAGCAGGGGATTCTATTGTTCCTGGAATAGACCCAGTAGTTGAGGTTCCTGCTGTCCCGGGAGCTGAGACTCCCGTTTCTCCTGCTGGAGGAGCTCCAGCTTCCTCCTGCAAGGAGAACTGCCAGAAGATCTACATTCCCGTGTGTGGCAGCGACGGCGTCACCTACAACAACCCGTGTATCCTGGGGGAGGCCCACTGCAAGAGTCTGGAGGCCGGCGGCAGCGGCGTCGCCCTCGCCTACGACGGCGTCTGTGGTGAGTATTTGCATCATAATTGTAATTGATGAAGATTACTTGGGTGTTCACAACACGCACACACGAACAACGTTCGAGATTCGCAGTACACGGGACTCGGATTCGATTCCCGTCAAAGACAGAAACAGTTTCTGTCTTTTCTAAGACAGCAGTTTCTTTCACTTGAGGCGTCTGCTCACGTAGCACTAAATAGGAACCTTGGAGTCAGCTGCTGCAAGTTGTATCCTAGGGATAAGTGTGTGTGTGTGTGTGTGTGTGTGTGTAATATACGTGGTAGATATAATAGAGAAAAATAGGTGGGGAGTCCATACATTAGCTAACCAATGGTTAGAAAAGTGTAGTCCAAGAACGAATAGCATGAACCTTTTGGCTCAAATAGTAAATAAAAAGAACGCACACAATATTATGTCTAAGTGTTAATTTTGAGCATTAATATTAACAGTTAATTATAATATGCGTATTGTTTTATTCATTATCGTTGAGTCTTCCCTCAATTTTTGCATAAAATACAAATGTCTTTCAACGATGACTCAAATATTCTCCCCTTTCAGCTTCGAAAAAAATTCGATGCTTCGATTTGTTTTAATCGGATTGTTACATAACTAAATACATCGGAATTCTATTGTTCTTTTAGAGCAGAGTACAGGGCCAGAAGCCGTGCCATCAGAACAGGTGCCAGGGACCCCGAGCGACCCCAAGGTGGACTCCAGGGTCACCCCAGCCCCTGCCTCATCCTGCCCTGAGCAGTGCACCAGGATCTTCACGCCCGTGTGTGGCAGCGACGGCGTCACCTACAAAAACCCGTGTATCCTGGGGGAGGCCCACTGCAAGAGTCTGGAGGCCGGCGGCAGCGGCGTCGCCCTCGCCTACGACGGCGTCTGTGGTGAGCATTTGTCATGTACATGTGTTATAGCTTTCAGGGATTAGGGCTAACTTTTAATATATACTTGTAACTAAAAATATATTCGTTTTAGGAATTTTTTAGATAAATTTATGACGTGATAAATAGTTTTAAAATTATGTTGCTAAAGTTGAACAAGCTAAAGAATTTTGTATAAAAATTTCTAGATTTTGTGTTGAGTAATCAGAGCTATTGGGTTTAATGCTTTGTATATTTGAAGCCATTGATTGTTTTTTTTTTATTAACACATTAGGTACATCTGCATTAGTGCAGCTACCCTAGACTATATAAAGTGGAGTACAGTTACTGCAGGAATATTATATATTTATAGGACACTGACTATGCCGGGAAGCTAGTGGCAATGGTCTTATATGTAATGTTGTTAAAATACATGTTCTTTATGAAGACTTGGGAATATGTGACAAGAATAGGCTATGAACACTGCACCGTCGAGAAACCAAACGCAAGAAATTAAACATATGATGGGGGGTCATTTTTACTAATATAAGTATATTAATGTCTGCAGAAAAAAACAGGTCAGCTTTCCAACATGCTTTGATGTTATATATATCATGAAACTGAAAACGTTATCTTATTCCAACATGTGTTTAACCTAGATACTGTTCCGCAGGGAGACCGATCGTCCCGGGACAGGAACCATCAGGACAGGTGCCAGGGGCCCCTAGCGACCCAAAGGTGGACACCAGGGTCACCCCAGCCTCCTCCTGCCCTGAGCAGTGCACCAGGATCTTCACGCCCGTGTGCGGCAGCGACGGCGTCTCCTACAACAACCTGTGTTTACTGGAGATCGCAGACTGTAGGAGCAGAGAAGCTGGAGGGACCGGCGTCGTGGCTGTGTCTGATGGCTACTGTGGTGAGTGACTGGCAGTGTTCTCTGTTCTGAACTTGGTACACTCTTCAGCTTGGAACAACTCGATGGTTTCCTGTAAACTTTCATCTTCAATGCATTATTATTTGTTTGTATTAATTTCTAGTATAAGAAGTCATCTTTTGCTGTTTCTAAAGCAAATTATCTAGTAGGTTCAACTTAATTATATTTGCTCCCAAAAATACCCAGGGTGATATGTTAGGCGCGATAATTATGCCCTAACAAAACAATGCCATTTCACACTGAATGATTTTGCTTGGAGAGATTACATGTATAAATCAGCAAGCATAGCGCTATTTAGAGATATTATTACTTTAGTGAATTTAAGGAACTGAAATCCAAAAACATGATTGTATTTAGCTAAAATTTAATCTGTGTTAGCATTTTACAAACAATATATCTGAAATGGCTATTGCTCTCACTCAGAATAATACTACATTCTCACGAGTTTGGCTGTAGCGATAAATTTATGCTAAATTTCCTTCATTGTCACTACTGAAGAAGCTGGATGATCTTTTGCTTCTGGAATAATAGACTCTGTTGGTCGACTAGGAGAACCTGTTGTCCCTGGAGCTGTAGATCCTGTTGGACCCGTAGCTGTAGATCCTGTTGGACCCGGAGTTGAGGCTCCCGTTTCTCCTGCTGGAGGAGCTCCAGTGTCCTCCTGCGTTAAAAGCTGCCAGAAGATCTACATTCCCGTGTGTGGCAGCGACGGCGTCACCTACAACAACCCGTGTATCCTGGGGGAGGCCCACTGCAAGAGTCTGGAGGCCGGCGGCAGCGGCGTCGCCCTCGCCTACGACGGCGTCTGTGGTGAGCATTTGTCATGTACTTGTGTTATAGCTTTCAGGGATTAGGGCTAACTTTTAATATATACTTGCAACTAAAAATATATTCGTTTAAGTTTTTTTAGATAAATTTATGACGTGATAAGAAATTTCAAAATTATGTTGCTAAAGTTGAGCAAGCTAAAGAATTTTGTATTAAAACCTTTGGGTTTTGTGTTGAGTAATCAGAGCTATTGGGTTTAATGCTTAGTATACTTGAAGATATCGATGGTTACTGAAGGAATATTATATATATTTGAAGGACACTGATTACGCCTAGAAGCTAGTGACAAGTCTTGTATGTGGTCTTGTTAAAATGTATGTTCTTTATGAAGTCTTTGAAATACGTGACAAGAATAGGCTATGAACACTGCACCGTCGAGAAACCAAACGCAAGAAATTAAATATATAATGGGGGGTCATGTTTACTAATATATGTATATTAATGTCTGCAGAAAAAAAACAGGTCAGCTTTCGAAACATGCTTTGATGTTATATATATCATGAAACTGAAAACGTTATCTTATTCCAACATGTGTTTAACCTAGATACTGTTCCGCAGGGAGACCGATCGTCTCGGGACAGGAGCCATCAGGACAGGTGCCAGGGGCCCCTAGCGACCCCAAGGTGGACACCAGGGTCACCCCAGCCCCTGCCTCCTCCTGCCCTGAGCAGTGCACCAGGATCTTCACGCCCGTGTGCGGCAGCGACGGCGTCTCCTACAACAACCTGTGTTTACTGGAGATCGCAGACTGTAGGAGCAGAGAAGCTGGAGGGACCGGCGTCGTGGCTGTGTCTGATGGCTACTGTGGTGAGTGACTGCCAGTGTTCTCTGTTCTGAGCTTGGTACACTCTTCAGCTTGGAACAACTCGATGGTTTCCTGTAAACTTTCATCTTCAATGCATTATTATTTGTTTGTATTAATTTCTACTATAAGAAGTCATCTTCTGCTGTTTCTAAAGCAAATTATCAAGTTGGTTCGACTTAATTATATTTGCTCCCAAAAATACCCAAGGTGATATGTCAGGCGCGATAATTATGCCCTAACAAAACAATGCCATTTCACAATGAATGATTTTGCTTGGAGAGATTACATGTATAAATCAGCAAGCATAGCGCTATTTAGAGATATTATTGCTATAGTGAATGTAAGGAAGTGAAAGCCAAAAACATGATTGTATTTAGCTTAGGTTTCATCTGTGTTAGCATTTTACAAGCAATATATCTGAAATGGCTATTGCTCTCACTCAGAATAATACTACATTCTCACGAGTTTGGCTGTAACGATGAATTTATGCTAAATTTCCTTCACTGACACTACTGAAGAAGCTGGATGATCTTTTGCTCCTGGAATAATAGACTCTGTTGGTCCACTAGGAGAACCTGTTGTCCCTGGAGCTGTAGATCCTGTTGGACCCGTAGCTGTAGATCCTGTTGGACCCGGAGTTGAGGCTCCCGTTTCTCCTGCTGGAGGAGCTCCAGCGTCCTCCTGCGTTAAAAGCTGCCAGAAGATCTACATTCCCGTGTGTGGCAGCGACGGCGTCACCTACAACAACCCGTGTATCCTGGGGGAGGCCCACTGCAAGAGTCTGGAGGCCGGCGGCAGCGGCGTCGCCCTCGCCTACGACGGCGTCTGTGGTGAGCATTTGTCATGTACTTGTGTTATAGCTTTCAGGGATTAGGGCTAACTTTTAATATATACTTGCAACTAAAAATATATTCGTTTTAAGTTTTTTTAGATAAATTTATGACGTGATAAGAAATTTCAAAATTATGTTGCTAAAGTTGAGCAAGCTAAAGAATTTTGTATTAAAACCTTTGGGTTTTGTGTTGAGTGATCAGAGCTATTGGGTTTAATGCTTAGTATACTTGAAGGTGTCGATTGTTACTGAAGGAATATTGTATATTTGAAGGACACTGATTATGCCTAGAAGCTAGTGACAATAGTCTTGTATGTGGTCTTGTTAAAATGTATGTTCTTTATGAAGTTTTTGAAATACGTGACAAGAATAGGCTATGAACACTGCACCGTCGAGAAACCAAACGCAAGAAATTAAACATATGATGGGGGGTCATTTTTACTAATATAAGTATATTAATGTCTGCAGAAAAAAAACAGGTCAGCTTTCCAACATGCTTTGATGTTATATATATCATGAAACTGAAAACGTTATCTTATTCCAACATGTGTTTAACCTAGATACTGTTCCGCAGAACGACCAATCGTCTCGGGACAGGAGCCATCAGGACAGGTGCCAGGGGCCCCTAGCGACCCCAAAGTGGACACCAGGGTCACCCCAGCCCCTGCCCCCTCCTGCCCTGAGCAGTGCACTAGGATCTTCACGCCCGTGTGCGGCAGCGACGGCGTCTCCTACAACAACCTGTGTTTACTGGAGATCGCAGACTGTAGGAGCAGAGAAGCTGGAGGGACCGGCGTCGTGGCTGTGTCTGATGGCTACTGTGGTGAGTGACTGGCAGTGTTCTCTGTTCTGAACTTGGTATACTCTTCAGCTTGGAACATCCCTTGTGGTATACAACTGTCAGGTTTCAACAAACCACATCCCTCATACTTACACTGATTCGAGTAGACTCTTTGAGCACTCGCACGTGTTTGTGGTTCCTCTACATAATATACTGTAGTTTTAGGAATTAGGTAACAAATCACACAAATTCTTGATTAAAGTTTGCAAGTTTATTAAAAGAATTGCTGTAGGTTCCTCAGAACTTGATGCAGTGGAGATTCGGGGAATTTGACAATCAGTTATCAGCCATTTTACTAGTCAATGACACGTTTGTAAACTATTTTTTTCAATCTGCTTTTATAGCTGACGGAGTCCAGGTCGACGCTCTTCCTCCAGCTGGCGGAGCTTCCCCCGTCGACGCTACATCTTCTGCAGGTGAACCAGAAGGGTCTGAACTCCTGCCGGGCATTGTCGACATTCGGGTGTTCGTGCCGCAGTGCGTCGACAACTGCACGCAGGAGGTGACGCCGGCGTGTGGCAGCAACGGCCACACCTACACCAACCTCTGTTTACTGTTGCTCGCTGACTGTTATAACAGGGAGTCGGGAGGAACAGGGGTCCAGGAGAGGGACTCCAGCTTCTGCGGTGAGTGTGTTTCAGTCTGTTATTGACTTTGCGTTTGATGCCGTTTCTCTCATATTTCTTGAGAAGCCCCAAGACGCGAAGGACGTGCTTCTTATTGACCAACGTCACCCATTGGAACTCATCTGAACAGTCGTAAATGAATTCGAGGTCCTGTGGTTTGTTGCTTCCTCGAGAAGGTGAGAGAGGGACGACCATCGTCAACACAGTTTGGCTTTCCGTGAGTGCAGGACTTGACGGAACATCGACGGCCTCGCCTCTGGCAGGTCGGGGTTCAATCCGCGACCGTCCTAGTGATTGGGACCCATGCTTTCATGGTAGATGAAGATGACTTGCTCCTACAGAGGTAGAGTTGTAATCTGCTCTCGCACAAGATAGCACATAGTAACTATAAGCAATAAGTCATATATTTTGCTTATACAAAAGTATATATGTGACATATTCCAAGCCATATTTTTTTCATGGCACCAACGTTTTCTCTCAGTTTTATTAAACAATAGAGATTTTATACAAAATTTGACCATATCCTGAGTTACTTTACAATTTATTTAAATATTTTAGTTTTGTTTTATTATTTTTATAAAACTGTAATATCAATAGGTATAGGTTCAGTATTAATTGTAATATCTTAACATACTAAGAAGGTTAGGATAGGTTGTGGTTTTCTCTTCAGCTTTTCAAGGTAAACTGAAATATTAACAAGAAATTAGTATGTCACATATGCACTTATTCATAAGCAAGATATTGACTATAAGCAAGTGCGAGAACGGGTTGCGAGGAAAGCTCAATAATGTCAAAGTGAGAGACACACACACACGAAGGCTTATTCAATATTAATTATATTTCTGAAGTAATTATTTAAGTAAAGAAACATTGTTGAGCTTAAATAGCTCATTGTTGAAGTTATTATGTTGTGTTGTAGTGCTAGAGGGCTGCAGAGCCTATACATTGTCTCCAAATGTTGTCTCTTGTGTGGCACCTGGTTCCAGGGCGAGAGAGAACCGTTGTTTGCGTTATCTGCTTCTCTGGCGTAATTGTGTTCGAAAACGTTTTAAGATAATTGTTTGCATTTTTATTAGTAATTATTCCAATGGCTAATGTACCTCATCTGTTGTTTTGGTTTACTTTATGTAACTGACAATGTTAATTGTATTCTAAGATGTCTTAACCTAGATACTGTTCCGCAGAGAGACCGATCGTCTCGGGACAGGAGCCATCAGGACAGGTGCCAGGGGCCCCTAGCGACCCCAAGGTGGACTCCAGGGTCACCCCAGCCATTGCCTCCTCCTGCCCTGAGCAGTGCACCAGGATCTTCACGCCCGTGTGCGGCAGCGACGGCGTCTCCTACAACAACCTGTGTTTACTGGAGATCGCAGACTGTAGGAGCAGAGAAGCTGGAGGGACCGGCGTCGTGGCTGTGTCTGATGGCTACTGTGGTGAGTGACTGGCAGTGTTCTCTGTTCTGAACTTGGTACACTCTTCTGCTTGGAAAAACTCGATGGTTTCCTGTAAACTTTCATCTTCAATGCATTATTATTTGTTTGTATTAATTTCTAGTATAAGAAGTCATCTTTTGCTGTTTCTAAAGCAAATTATCTAGTAGGTTCAACTTAATTATATCTGCTCCCAAAAATACCCAGGTTGATATGTCAGGCGCGATAATTATGCCCTAACAAAACAATGCCATTTCACAATGAATGATTTTGCTTGTAGAGATTACATGTAAAAATCAGCAAGCATAGCGCTATTTAGAGATAGTATTGCTATAGTGAATTTAAGGAACTGAAAGCCAAAAACATGATTGTATTTAGCTAAAGTTTCATCTGTGTTAGAGTTTTACAAGCAATATATCTGAAATGGCTATTGCTCTTACTCAGAATAATACTACATTCTCACGAGTTTGGCTGTAACGATGAATTTATGCTAAATTTCCTTCATTGTCACTATTGAAGAAGCTGGATGATCTTTTGCTCCTGGAATAATAGACTCTGTTGGTCGACTAGGAGAACCTGTTGTCCCTGGAGCTGTAGATCCTGTTGGACCCGTAGCTGTAGATCCTGTTGGACCCGTAGCTGTAGATCCTGTTGGTCCCGTAGCTGTAGATCCTGTTGGTCCCGTAGCTGTAGATCCTGTTGGTCCGGGAGTTGAAGCTCCCGTTTCTCCTGCTGGAGGAGCTCCAGCGTCCTCCTGCAATAAGAGCTGCCAGAAGATCTACATTCCCGTGTGTGGCAGCGACGGCGTCACCTACAACAATCTGTGTTTACTGGAGATCGCAGACTGTAGGAGCAGAGAAGCTGGAGGGACCGGCGTCGTGGCTGTGTCTGACGGCCGCTGTGGTGAGTGACTGGCAGTGTTCTCTGTTCTGAGCTTGGTACACTCTTCAGCTTGGAACATTGTGTCAGTTATACTATTCTGAGACTCACAAAAGTGTGTGAAAAACTTCTGATGACTGGCAAGACTAATAAGTTTGAATTGAAATTCATATTGGATTAAATGTTAATTGAGGGAATGGCAATTATTTCCAGACATCAATCGTTAGACCACTGTAACAGACTGTTACTGTACATGAGACCGTTGCTCATATCAATTGTTAGAACACTGTAACAGACTGTTACTGTACATGAGACCGTGGCTCATTAAAATCTCACATTAGCTCTATTTGTGAAGATTAAATAACAGGCAGCATCCCTATGATACGCAAACCTGTCCTCTTAAAAAGAACGTCGCTTTTGGCCGTTTGCCCGTATGGCCGAATATGAACGTAATTTGAAAATGAAAAAAAATGAATATAAATTTTGGATTTTTATTTCAACAGCAGTAAGTTAAGTGTCCTCTGATAGGTTAGGTGGGCAGGAAATTCTCATAAAGTTTCAAAACGGTATGAAAAACGTTAATTGAAAGAATTCTTTTCTAAGCTTGCCGAGTAAGCCGGACGACTCAAACAGAAAACGGAACAGTACGTCACTTTTGCGAGTCGATTTCATTTCAAATTACGTCCAAATTTGGCCATAGTGCGCATACGAGCGAAAAGTGACGTTATTTTTAAGAGGACGGGTTGGATACGCGCACTTCGTGAGGAATTGTGCGCATACATACTTCAAAAGGGGGGTAACTGTAATATATTTTCAACATTTAATTTGAGTTCCCCTTCTCCTGCCTTTCCTTCTCCCTGTTATGATGTGAATCCCCCTGTGGGAGTTTACTGTTCAGCTTCTCTCGTTTTTATTCAGAGGTTCACCTCATGATGTGTGTGTAGTTCAGGTTCGGTTTTTGTGTTAACTCTCATGGTATTATTGTGTAAACTTCTGTAGTATTATTGTGTAAACTTTAAGAATACTATAGTGTTGCCTCGCTCTTTCCCGTTCGACTCTGAGGTTGATTGGTAAAGAATTGCTACACGGAACAAAAAGTTCCAAGCAGCACGGGCTATGATGAGCCCGTGACTCTGAGGTACTAACACTTCTCTGATTGATGAATATTAAGCCACCCATTAGGTGGCACGGGCATGAATAGCCCGTGAAACTCTTCTCTCTCTCTCTCTCTCTCTCTCTCTCTCTCTCTCTCTCTCTCTCTCTCTCTCTCTCTCTCTCTCTCTCTCTCTCTCTCCTGCACCTTTCTTTGTATTCTGGATATCGTTGTGCCCTGAAAGATTTTTTAATTATGTTTATTCTCTAAAGGAGAAGTCTTCTCATAGTGTAGTCGCTCTGTGGCGAAATTTCAATATAAATGGTGGTCATGTTTTTAGCGTGAGAATCCTTACTGAGTGGTTTGTTTATTTTCCCGCAGTCGTTAACAAATATTGTGTGAATTACTATTTTTCCTGCAGGAGTCCCAGTAGTAGAAGACGACAAAGGGGAGGCGATAACGTCCTCTTCTACAGGAGTTGCTGAGGAAGGTACTAAGGTAGAGGAAGTTCCGGCTTACATTCCCCCAGTGCGCACCTCCACCACCTCCTGCCAAAGTGACTGCACGAACCTTCAGGAGCCCGTGTGTGGCTCTGATGGCGTCACCTATGAGAACGAGTGCATCCTGGACGTAGCCAGCTGCAGGCGCCGGGAGGACGGCGGCGAGGGGATCTACATCGTCAGCGGCGGTTCTTGTGGTGAGTCCTCGAGAGATATGTCCTCCAAAAATGAAAGGAAATATCTTTTGCTGACAATAAGACATCAAAACGTGGTTGAAAATTAAACACATAGACCCATACATCTGCAAATACAAGAATTGACCATTTTTTTGGTCCGTCCTGGACCATTATTGACCTCATATTGGTCCAGGACGGATCGAAACGTTAGTTTTTTTTCAGATTCGTGAGTTGGGTGTTTGATATAACTTTTGTTTTATTTTGTTTACGTTAAACTTTTGCATCTGTCGAGATGCAAACGTTAATAAATAGCTGTTTAAATGATTTTTTTCAAGATGACATCAAGTCACCAGTTGAAGTTGATAAAGCAACAGCCTGTCGAGAGCAGTGTACGAAAATCTACCTTCCGGTCTGCGGCAGTGACGGCAACACGTACGACAATGAATGTCTTTTGGATGTTGTCAATTGCAAGAGATGGGAGGAAGGCGAGAAGGGCATCTACATCATCCACGAGGGGCGCTGTGGTGAGTACGAGGGAGAGAGAGAATAATAGATAGATGTTGACCAGACCACACACTAGAAGTTGAAGGGACGACGACGTTTCGGTCCGTCCTGGACCATTCTCAAGTCGATTTGAGAAGGGTCCAGGACGGACCGAAACGTCGTCGTCCCTTCAACTTCTAGTGTGTGGTCTGGTCAACATACTTCAGCCACGTTATTGTGACTCATCGCCTCAACAATAGATAGATATTAAGGATCAGTTGCACATCACAGAGATGAACAATGGTGCGACATTTCATTTGTACATTTGAATATATCACTGACATCAAAATGTTATTTTCCTCTGCTGATATTTGTTATAACACACTATTAAGACTTTCTCCGACTAATGCTACGCGTTCGTATGTAACTAATGCAATAATATTATATATATATATATATATATATATATATATATATATATATATATATATATATATATATATATATATATATATATATATATATATATATATATATATATATATATATATATATATATATATATATATATATATATATATATATATATATATATATATATATATATATATATATATATATATATATATATATATTGCATATTGCATTAGTTTTTTGTATTATAAACAATTTAGGCTCACACATTTGCTGTTGAGGTTATGCACATGCTTAATCTGAAACTACGGGCTCACTATAGCCCGTGCTGCCCGGGGGGGTTTAGCTCCCGAGTGGCTGAATCTAAAAATCAACAAAAAACAACAGCTTAATCTCAACCTGATTTCATTAACACAACACAAACTACAACATTCTGAATAAGCCAATGCCGTGAAATAATCCCACCCCACTTGACTGAGCAGAGGATGAAGGCATTGGAGACCTTGCAGTACCTTCTGTGCCTGATCAGTCGCTAGCAGCACCCATAGACTCGCCATCAGAAACCATTCCATCCCCATCCGTGCCAGTTGAGTCTCCCCTTCTGGCGTCTCTGGGCGTATCCTACAGCGCCTCTACGTCCCCGTGCCCGGAGCAGTGTGCCGAAGATTACTCTCCTGTCTGTGGTACCGACAACCTGACGTATGACAGCCATTGCGTCCTGGAGGAGACCAGCTGCAGGAGACGGTCAGCGGGAGATGATATAATCAGAAAGGCTTTCGATGGACCCTGCGGTAAGTGTTCCGTGTACATTTTGACTCGTCGTATGTCATAAATTCCGTTTTCTTTTGGCATTTATGGTAATTTAGATCTCAGGTTTATATTTCGGTACCGGTTGGATTATTCAGTGGTATATGTGTGTGTGTTGAGTGAGTCCTCGTTGTTAGTTTGACTCTGCGTGCATCACAAGGAGGTAACGGTGGGATTTACTTCAGGTTATATATTATTTGTGACGTTAGCCATTTGTTTTCTTTAATGAGTGCAATATCGTACTCACTCCCTGTAGTCAGTATAGCATCACGTTTTCTTACACCTGATGTTTCTGTTCAACTATAAGACAATAGGTAACTGTTGTGAGGTTGCATCCTGATTCTCTCATGATCATTTCTATGGATCTGTGTGCAGGCCGTCCTCACAAGCATTTTCAACGTCAAGAAACTGTCGTACTAAAGGGTCCTATCCTAACCTACCAGAGGACCAATATGTCTTCTCTATCACTGTATCACAGAGTGTTTTGAGTATCCACCTTCGTATTTTGCCGCGTCCTGTTCCCGTGTCTGTCTACCTAATCCTCCCTTTCCACAGTTTATTATTATTATTATTTTCTACCACAGACGTGGCCATATATTTACAATGCTAACCACCATATATACATTTTCTTCTGTCCTCCATGGACAGGGTTAGAGAAGTGTTAAATATATAGTTCAAGGGTTTATTGAACACTCAACCACAGAAGGTGATTTGGTGCTTTTAAAATGCTAAGCTAACCTACATACGTAAATACATAGATACACAGATTTATGTATGCCCTACATAAAGTGTTCGATGTCTTTCCACAGTGGCCGCCCTGCCCCGAGGCCCAGTGTGTGACAGGAGATGTGACGGCGGTGTGGCGCTAGTGTGTGGCAGTGACGGAGAGACCTACAACAGTCGCTGTCTCCTGGAACACGCCGACTGTCTCAACCCTTTCGCCACCATCGCTTTTGTGAAGGACGGCCCTTGTGGTGAGTCGAATAACGCCTTAGCTTAGACCTAAGAAAAGTTTTATATCTACGTCATCCCTACGCTTGTTAATCTTTTATAGCTATAGTTCCTGAAGGCTATTTTAATGTACTTCAGTTTAGTGTATATCGATGGACGTATTTTTGTGAAGACGTGTTCTATTTTTTTCATTCTTTAGCCTTGTACCCTTGCTGTTTTAAGGAGGTTGGTTGCTTCCCTTATATTGTACCGTCCTTTAGGTCTTTTATCATCAATCTTCATCACCTTAAACTTGCTGTTTGTGAATTCCAGTAACCATTTTTCAGATCAACTATTCATTCCGTACTGTAGTTTGATGGTTTTTCTTCTCTGCCTCTATGCATCACCATTGGACTTATTCCATTTCTAGGACTTCCTTTCGCCTAAGTCCTCTCATTGAGTTCTTTTTATAATCTCTTTTTGTAAATCACATTTTTGCAGTCTTGCATCATTGCTTTACTTCCACATTAAATCTTTGTAATGCATCAGTTTGACATTACTCAGATACGTTATTTTAACTTGCAGATTCATCAATAACACTTCTGGAATTATCGTCATCGTCATCATCAGAGGACGATTCCGATACTGAGGACGTAGCGTTTCCCCACCTTGGTTACCTCCCTCCATTTTAGACAGCAAGAGCCGCACGTTCCTATCTCCTTCAGGGGACTGTGTACATTGCTTTATCTTCAACGATAGGTGCAAGAGACCAAGAGGTAGCCATCTTCGGCGTCATCAGAAGCAGAATTACCTTTGCTGGTTTATATATATATATAAAAAGATCCGTCACGGCCAGTTCGTATGGCCTATGGATACCGCAGTTACCCCATACACGCTGCTTACTCCGTCTGTGATATACGCAAATCTATATATCTTATAATATTTTGCTATTAGTATTGTTTTCCCATGAACAGCCAGACCAGATAACAACCAGAAATATACTTGAACTCAGCAGCTTGAGATCATCCATGCATACACACCTTATATATATATATATATATATATATATATATATATATATATATATATATATATATATATATATATATATATATATATACCGCCATTAGATTTATCACAGTATAAATAACTCTGAAATTTCAAAGTTATTGTGCTAAAATAGTTACCATAACCAGGAGGGGGTTACTTCTGCCATATTACATGAAACTAAGTTACCATGAGGTTACCATACATGACACAATAGGGAGGAATAGGAAAGACATGAGTGCCAGGCAGGCCATTATGTACACCTTTGCGATAGTCATTTGTCAGAGAAACTTATATGATATTGGAATAATTTAGTAGTAAGGTGTTAACGATGGTTCACAGATTTCATTGTTTCTGTCCCAGATATTTTTCAGACCAAAACGATTCCAATTCTGTCACTCACCCACATGTCCTTGTCCGTGTACCATTCATCTGTGTTTTCTAGAATTCTACGTGGCATGCACTAAATATCATAAACAATGATATGTATTGATCACACTATTAATATATAAATTCTGACTGATGTCTAGTATATAGACGGACATTTGGACCTAAATTGAAGGTTTTTCTCTGATTACATTCTTTGTAAAGTTTTGCATAAAGAATAATATGTATAATGTAGTTTTTCTTCACCAATTCTTGAAACGTCGAAAGCAAAATGAGTAGTGAACAAATAGCTATAATTTTTCTGACAAAGTATTTATACAATTTTAGCTTAAAATCTCATGTATGTTAATTATTATGTTTTGATCATCGTTTGTAATAAACAGATACCATCTGGATTTGGTTTTGGTGTTGGACTTAAGGCCAATCAACCTCTGGAGGGTTGTTAAGGACTCTCAACCAAATCTACAAGTCCACTACGGGCTCACTATAACCCATGCTACTTAAAACTTCTGTTCCAAGTAGATGAATCCAAAACAACAATAACCTCTGGAGGGATTATATATATATATATATATATATATATATATATATATATATATATATATATATATATATATATATATATATATATATATATATATATATATATATATATATACACACACACACAAACAATGACGGCTTGTCTCCCAAAAAAATTAACTATAGATACTTAAATTATTATTAATTGGTTGAAAAAATATATATTTTTTTAATATTTTGTCATTGTAAAAGATTTTGAGTTATCTTTTAAAATCTGCAACAGCTCTCATATAATAATCTTTCATTAACTAAGATCTTCAGTAAATTAAGTTATAATAAAAATTAAATGTTACTTTTTATCACACTGGAACCGATAACTAAAATTTTGAGTTTAAATAAATAACCATAACATTTGTTCAATCCGCAGTTAGACCAATTGTATCTGATCAGATATCGCCCAAATTCTTGGCATGTCAAGATACACCTTTTTGCATGTAAAAAGCTGCAAAATTTGTATTATTATTTAAGTTATACCCTTCTCCCTAGGTTCTCATTTTCTACAAACAAAATTTGGAATGGGTAATATTTTGAGGGATAACTTAAAATTTTTCTAGGTAAGCATGCAGAGAAATGGAGAAATATACAAATGTATACCTTAATTTACCTGAGGGCCACCTACCACAGAGGCCTCGAAAAGGACAGTAATATGTCTCTGAGTCAAATCTACATCAGTAGATGTTACAAGTTTCAATGTAGGTTACAAGGTTACGATGTTAGTCTCCGTGGTGTAGTGGTAAGACACTCGCCTGGCGTTCCGCGAGCGCTTTGTCATGGGTTCGTATCCTGGCCGGGGAGGATTTACTGGGCGCAATTCCTTAACTGTAGCCTCTGTTTAACGCAACAGTAAAATGTGTACTTGGATGAAAAAACGATTCTTCGCGGCGGGGATCGTATTCCAGGAACCTGCCCGAAACGCTACAAGAATGTAACAACTCTTGTATATATCTCAAATAAAAAAAAAGTTCCCAAAGGTATTTGTAGCCGAGCCTAAGCCTACCAGTAGTAACATCTAGAAGTCTGCTAACCTTATTGGATGACCCATAGACGTGCGGTACTTCCTGCATAATAGAATGATAGATGGAGTAACTGGTGTGAATTTCACTTTGCCTCAAGTCTCCGAAATTTAGTTGATGTTCTCGGAATATTACTGCCCTCAGGCTGCTCAAAGACAGTCCAAGTTGGTAATCGATTCCCTCTTTACGAGCAAAAGCCTTGGCCTCATCAGTTCTGTCATGCATTCGGAGACCAATATGGGAAGGAATCTACACGAGACAAACTCCGACTCCATCATTGATTATTTCACTATATCTGTGTCTAGCTTCAGAGATAAGCACGTCACAGTTATGCCTTGGGGAGCTGAGAGCAGTCAAGGATGACAAGGAGTCACTTACAATTAGCGTGTCAACTTTGGATTCATATACGCGCTCGAGTGCAAGGATTATGGCAACCAATTCTGTTTGAAGAGTGGAGGCCCAGTTACTTAGACGCGCTCCACACTCATGGGAGAAGGAACCATCTCTCTCTGTCACAACAACTGCACTTCCAGCTGCACCATGGGACTGATGCAAGGATCCATCAGTGTAAATAATCTGGGAAAGGGAGCGCTCTCTGACTAAAGCATCAATTTGGCTTAAGGCATTGTACTTTGCTTCTTGTCGAAGCAAGGCTTGTTCTTTATTCAGCTCCTTGGGTGGGAAAGGGAGGGACACTAATTTGGAAAGGAGTGATCTCCCATGGGGCAGGAAAGTGTTGTTGTTGTCTCTCTTGGTAGGGGGTGATGAAAGTTATACATTCTGAGCACATTGGCTGTTTCGGTAATCCATTTGGAGGGATGCTGACCTTCAAGGAAGAAGGCTTGGAGGGCTTCAGTGCAGGGGTTAGGGTGGGTTAGCCTAAGCATCTTGATACTAATTAAAGCATTAATTTCAGTGATACGATCACTTACACATGAAATATTCAGTTCCTTCCTCATGTTTAGTAATTTAGTACTATGATAATAGAAAAATGTTAAAAAGTAAGGTTTCCTTTCTATTTTTTTAATCAAATAATAATAATTTAAATATCTATAATTAATTTTGTCGGGAGACAGGCAGCCAATGTGTTTGTGTGTGTGTTTATCGTTACGTTTTATAAAGTAAACATAACGACAATATACAATTGTTTTTTACCCACTACTGAAGACTCTGTCTTCGATGGTTCCCATGTAAATATTTGCAAATAACCCTCCTAAGGGGAAGACCATTGCCACTCCGTCTATCTGTAGATACATGTTACCTTACGGACTGATGAATGGAAGACCTTTGGAAGACCTTAAACGCAAAGTGAACAAGACTATTACCGCAATCAACGCAAAGAGAGATAGTGTTCATTTCACTAAACTCCAAGGCGACTATGGCTTGAATGACCAATCAGTACAGCAGCAGTAATCAAGCCGTGGTACAAGAGGTACAGCATCAGTAACTAAGCCGTGGTACAAGAGGTACAGCAGCAGAAACTAAGCCTTGGTACAAGAGGTACAGCACCAGTAACTAAGACGTGGTACAAGAGGTACAGCAGCAGAAACTAAGCCTTGGTACAAGAGGTACAGCATCAGTAACTAAGCCGTGGTACAAGAGGTACAGCATCAGTAACTAAGCCGTGGTACAAGAGGTACAGCAGCAGTAACCAAGCCGTGGTACAAGAGGTACAGCATCAGTAACTAAGCCATGGAACAGCAGCACCTCCAAGGCTGTCAGGTACACACATGGGTGGTTATCTTCTGAAAATGCTGCACGTAGGAAGGTCGTGCTGTTAAGCCAGCAACATTCTCCCTCGTCCTGCTTCCTGTTCAACACCTGTTAAAAGGACCTATCATGGAAATATTGTTAAAATATAAAACAGATGTTCCTAATATATTTTGTCTATTTACGACATTTGATTAAGTATCCCTCTCACATATTTTCATATCCGTTTTCTCTGCTGATCGTGTAAATTTATATTTAATTATGTAAAAATTAGATAACAGTGTTTGACAAGGCTTGCTGTCCTCCGGATTAATAATAATTGTACTTTTGAGTATGAGTTGGTCAGTGATTATAATACACACATGAATGGGCAAATCAATCATAGGGATAAGGTGATTTGATTAACATCAGAGGACACGTCTTATTACACATCAGTTGTTAAAGATTTGCTACCTGGAACGTAAAGTCCCAAATACCACAAGCTATGGTGAGCCCATAGAATAATAGACATCAGAGACGAGACGTCCTTATTCTTCATTACTGCGTAGATGCTAGTTTAGACACACTTCAGATTCCTAAGCTAAGGTAGATGAGGCTTTATGGCCGGAACTGCCACTGAGACACGCAATAGTGATTAAAACTCTGGTCTCGTACTGAAGGTTCTGTCTCTCAACACGTGGAATACCAATCAAAAATAATTCGCACTCTGCCACCGAGGCTTCGCGAGGTAAAGCTTGCATACCAACACTGGTATTCTTATGTCTAGCCCAAGTCATGTTGATTAAAAATTTATGACTACGTAATAACGAGGTAATTGGCAAATGTGATATATATATATATATATATATATATATATATATATATATATATATATATATATATATATATATATATATGAATGAAAACTCACACCCCAGAAGTGACTCGAACCCATACTCCCAGAAGCAACGCAACTGGTAACTACAGGGCGCCTTAATCCGCTTGACCATCACGGCCGTCAAAAGGAAGTGATAGCCGAGGCTATTTGAGCCACTTCCCCGACGGCAACTCGGATGGTAATCTTGGGCATAGCATTTCACCAAATCACCTCATTCTTTGGGGCACACGTGAGGAACACAAATGCAAACAAGCCTGAATGGTCCCCAGGACTATATGCGAATGAAAACTCACACCCCAGAAGTGACTCGAACCCATACTCCCAGAAGCAACGCAACTGGTAACTACAGGGCGCCTTAATCCGCTTGACCATCACGGCCGTCAAAAGGAAGTGATAGCCGAGGCTATTTGAGCCACTTCCCCGACGGCAACTCGGATGGTAATCTTGGGCATAGCATTTCACCAAATCACCTCATTCTTTGGGGCACACGTGAGGAACACAAATGCAAACAAGCCTGAATGGTCCCCAGGACTATATGCGAATGAAAACTCACACCCCAGAAGTGACTCGAACCCATACTCCCAGAAGCAACGCAACTGGTAACTACAGGGCGCCTTAATCCGCTTGACCATCACGGCCGTCAAAAGGAAGTGATAGCCGAGGCTATTTGAGCCACTTCCCCGACGGCAACTCGGATGGTAATCTTGGGCATAGCATTTCACCAAATCACCTCATTCTTTGGGGCACACGTGAGGAACACAAATGCAAACAAGCCTGAATGGTCCCCAGGACTATATGCGAATGAAAACTCACACCCCAGAAGTGACTCGAACCCATACTCCCAGAAGCAACGCAACTGGTAACTACAGGGCGCCTTAATCCGCTTGACCATCACGGCCGTCAAAAGGAAGTGATAGCCGAGGCTATTTGAGCCACTTCCCCGACGGCAACTCGGATGGTAATCTTGGGCATAGCATTTCACCAAATCACCTCATTCTTTGGGGCACACGTGAGGAACACAAATGCAAACAAGCCTGAATGGTCC